GTTACTAATAACCGTTCTTTCTTTTTTTTTTAAGTTCGGATGGAGTGGGCTTCTAACCTTTGGGAAAAGAGGAACCAAGATTCGTAAGTACGAATCTTGGTTTATTTTTTTTATATTTTTTTTAATATTACGAACAGTTACTAATAACCGTTCTTTCTTTTTTTTATAGGTTCAGGTGGGCTTTTGAAGAACGAAAACCCAAAGATAAAGATTCGTAAGTACGAGTACGAATCTTTTAATTAATTATTTATTTATTATTATTACGAATGGTTTACTAACCATTCTTTCTTTTTTTTTATAGGTTCGGGTGGGCTTCCGAAGAACGAAAACCTAAAGATTAAGATTTGTAAGTACAAGTACGAATCTTTTAATTTTTTATTTATTTATTATTATTATGAATGGTTTACTAACCATTCTTTCTTTTTTTTTAGGTTCGGGTGGGTTTCCAAAAAATGAAAACCCAAAGATAAAGATTCGTAAGTACGAATCTTTATATATTTTTTTATATATATATTTTTTAATATTATGAACGGTTACTAATAACCGTTCTTTACTTTTTTTTAGGTTCAGGCGAGCTTCCGTGTAGAAAAACCAAGATTCGTAAGTAAGTACGAATCTTGGTTTGATTTAATATTAATGAACAGTTACTAATAACCATTCTTTCTTTTTTTTAGGCTTCGGGTGGGCTTCCGACTTTCAGGAAAAGAGGAACCAAAATTTGTAAGTACGAATCTTGGTTTATTTTATTATTATAAACGGTTACTAACCGTTCTTTTCTTTTCTTTTTATAGGTTTGGTGTCTCAGGTGGGCTTCTAAAGAACAGAAAAAACAAAGATTCGTAAGTAGAATCTTGATTTTTTTCTGCTTTTTTTAATAGTATAGAACGGTTACTAACCATTATTCTTTTCTTTTTTTTATAGTTTTGGTGGATTTCCAAAAGATCAAGATTCGTAAGTATATACGAATACACGAATCATGTGATTGTGAAATTGTAGATTAGCAATAATTATTTGTAATTTAGATAGATGCTAATAATAATAATAATATAATTAAGCATTTAATAAATACTTTAATAAATTTGATATATGATTATATGATAAAATTAAAATAAATTCAGAAATAAAATAGGTGGTTGTTAGACTATAATTCAACTTAAGTTTTAATGTCAAATATAGGTCTAATTTTAGCCAAATATTCTTTCCGAATTTGAGACGATTGGCACCCTAAATGCGCCCAAAAATTTGACCTCAATTTGACACAGGTTAGATCATCATTTGACCTATATTCGACCTGGTCAAATTTAGGCCGAATTGTCCTTTTTTGACTAGTGTAGATAATTTAAAAGATGATCTAATTATTTTTTTGGAAATATAATAAGAAATATTAGACAGCTTTCTATCCAGGAATTTAAATTGATCTGTAATCATAGAAAAAAGAAAACATAACTAAGTCCGATAAAGTATTAAGTCCCTGTAAAAAGTCTGATCCGTGTTTTATCTTTCCATGTTTTTTCCATGAATGTATCATTTTCATGGAATTAATAGCTTTAAATCATGAAAATTTTCATCTTGCTAACATGGATATCCGTGAATGTACCATTTTCACAGAATTTTTACGGAAGACACAGAGAAATAATGGAAATATTTGGATAAAAAGTTTTTATAGGGAGTGGGTTACCAAGTGTTTTGATGGATAAGATTTGGTCCAACTTATACAAAAAATATAAAAAAGAAACTGGGCATGAGCCATGGCAATTATCAGAAGATCACCTTCTCATAAATTCAAAGCCAGAAAACAAAGTATCCTATTTATCTTCTTCTGAGCCTATAACTTTTGAAGTCAGACCTGATCCAGAATTAATTATCAAATCCATCTTAGAGCACTTCCCATACTTGAAATTTGGAAATAGTTTCAGAGGGATTGATAATTATGATTTTACATCACCTCTGCCGTGGAATTCACCATGTCCTATTTGCGATGGAAAACATGGGAATTATGGATTACATGACGAACGGTACCACAAAAATGGGAATCAGTTCCCTTATGATCCTGAATTAGCGAAATTGTATTCCCAAGTTAAGTTGGAATATTATCTTACTTGCTTCACTCCAAGCAATAAATTCAAATTCGCGATCGTAGCATAGAAATTCCGTCATGTGAGACCGATCACCTGAAATGCGCAGTATGATATTCTTGTCATTTCTTCTGAAGTCTTGCAAATACAAAAACAGGGCATCGTACCGCAATATGAAAAAAGTGTCAGTGAAAAAAAAATTCGTACGAAACATTGCGCATTTAAGGTGGGAGTGGTTGTGACTATGCATTTCAATAAAGCAACTCAGGATTACAAGCTAATGGTATTTTTCGTTCCGGGATTTTTTGAGGATCACAAAGGCACAAATGAAACGGACTATGGAATTAATGATAGGATATTGTATTAGTACAATGTATAGGACAGTCCTTGTCATATATCACAAATTAGCTCTCGATTCTTGTAATTTATTTTTGTATAGATCTATTAGTTATAACTTATTTATAACCGTAGTATAGCATTTGTTCTCGAACTTTACCGCATGTACTCAATGAAATTTATTAATAAAAGCTCTCCCTGACAATCTTGATATACTATTGTTAAATTAAGGAGAGGCCGTTGATCAGATTTTCGTGATGTAATCATATTAACGTAATTTGCACCAAAAGCGTATTCTAAAATCGATCCTGTGAATCATATAAAAAGGTGATGTCCCGGTTAGTGAACTCTTTTATCTGTCTTGCGCAACTAAAGCAAAAATCAAACGAAAAATAAAACTTACCATTATTAACATCATCGAAATCAACAATCAAAATGAACTCGCATATTCCGCAAAGTTATAATAAGGTAGGTTGGTTTTATTGCTCGGCTAGCTTCTTGAAACATACCATCACAATGTTTAATCAAATTTCCCGCTTCTTAGATGTTCCAAACTAAACCAGACATATTACTTCCACCGGTCTTCTTATTATATATCGGCATTTTGATCTTTGCCGAGAAAATCCTTACGCATATAATAGGCGCAGTGAAATAATTAGCAGTATCACGAAAAATAATATTATCTAATCTAATCGACTTCACGTGTCTCATCAACATCAACAAAATTTGGCACAGTATGTCAAATAAATTTATCGAACAATAAAAAATTCGAAATATTATGAGGCGGGTGTGGAATAATTATTATTAAAATGAATTATAGCAGTAAGTGTGAATCGGAAGCCCTCAACTTGTTTTATTTTTTTTTTATCTCATTGTAATCTCAAGAATTCTTCCTATAGATTCGAAATCATTTCATCTTGGAGAAATTCTCTTATGGGAAATAATCTATTACATAGTTTGTGCGAGTGGGAGTGATATAGATAGACGAAAATTATGTAGATATAAGTGGTGTAATTTATTTCGGAATTCTAGTGTAGAGAAAGATTGTTGGGGTGTAGTTAGTAATAGATGTAAAAATAAATTATCTGTAGAAATTATTCCGAGAGCAAAGAATAATTTGATGCTGGGACTCGCATTTAATGGCCTAGGATCCGCGTACTCCCTTCCTCTTTGATAGTATCATATATTTTTTTCGCTTCGAAAAATAATTTCGTAATACATCAAAAATAAATAAATGCGTTTTTATTTTTTTTAACTATTTACATGTACTTCGGAAAAATTTAATCAAGAAAAGCTGTAGACTAAGAGTCCAGCTTTCGCTAAGCTGTAGACTAGGAGTCCAGCTAGCGCTAACGTCAAATTAAGAGAGTCCTTATTAGACTAAGAGTCCCAGCTTGCGGAACTAGGAGTTCATGACTGGAGACTAAGAGTCCCAGCTTGCACTGCTGTTCAGACATTAATATCGACGTTATTATAAATTCTAAAACTAGGAAATGGAAATCATTGTGAGTCTGGAGCGAAATACGTTCTTTGTTAAATAATCAATTAATAACGGGTGACGCAGTTTATTTAACCGCGATGATTTTCTGTGTTTCACAGAATTTCAGATAATTTAGATTCAAATCATACAGTCATCCCGCGAACGCGTTTTACGTATAAACGGAAAAATTCGTGTCCATATTAGTTCTGCAGAATAAAATCAGACTGACTCAATTATCGACAATATAAACTTAAGAAAATTTTTCAACTCGCACCATTTAAAGAAATGACATCCAATTTAATGGCTTTTTATCATGTCGTTAAGGTCGAAGACTGGTCTTGCATTAGGCTGGTGCAGTATTATCGCTCAAAAATGGAGCAAGGAGAATGTATTGGATTCAATTAAAAAAGATCTCATAAAGGTGGCAAATTCCGTTTCTGAGTTCGACATAATACGTAGAAGAAAAGCGCAAGAAATCTTGGATAGATGGAAGGTAACTCATTGGATTTAACGAAATAAGAGCTAGTTTTTTTGCTCAAGTATAATAATTTAAATTTTGATTTTCAAGGATTGGACTGCATCGTACAACGATTTTATAAAAAATTTGAGTTGCGCTCGCATGAATATTGATAATTTCCAGGTAGGCTTCTAGTCTGAAAATCTGTATGATAATGGATAAATTAATATTTTGTCAATTAGGTAAAGACTATAAGTCAACTCAACAATCTGACTGGAGACTCATCTTATTCAACACAAAACATCGACAATCGTCGTACAACTTCGGGAAAACGCCATCGAGATAGAAAAGAAACGGAAGAGAACCTCAACTCGAGTAAAAAAGTGAGATCGTCACAATCTATGAAATGCAACATCATGATTTATTTACAAACATTGGTTCTATTTGATCTTCTTGTAAGCTAGCAGAAACTTATCATCTTGTATTTCAATACTTAGAGTGGTCATAAACAGAAAAAAAAACGTACCAAAATTGAGCAATACTTCCCTGTGTGTAACGATATTTGCGAAATTCAACATGAGCAACGATCATTTGATAACGTGGATGATGAGGAACTGTCCGGCATCACTTTGGTGCCACCGGATGAACTTCTTCGAGATGCCCCATTTGTGCAGACTCAAGATAAAGATGAAACCAATTTAAACCTGTTTGACCTCGAAAAAGATGTGGAAAATTCATATCTCCAAGAGTTGTCTGTTGAGGTTCGATATCTTTGTTCTACACTTCATTGCTGTTCATAATAACAAAATCTTTTTTGCATTAAAGACTTTGAACCCGACTATTGAGAGACTTCTCGGCATTGAAAAAGGAATCGCAAGATACAGAATTACATTTTTGCCTGAATTTCACCTCAATGATCCAGTTAAACGGTTGTTTACTGATAAGGAATGGATAGTGATGGAATCGAAATGGAGAAAGGTGGTGTTTCCTGCTGATTTTAATTTCTTTTAACTTTAATTACTAACAGTGAATTATATGTTCTAGATAGAGGAGGAGATTGTAAATTCCCTTCTACCAATTGAGAGTAACCTCCAATCACTTTTAAAGAGATATGAAAATGTAATTTCACAAAATACTATTGGATGTTACATTGATTTGAACAAAGTTGAGTCCGCTATCGGTCAGGTCCCATTCGAAAATGATTATTTATTTGCGAGAGATTGGACTTTGAGATGGATTCAACAAGTGTATACAGCTTTGTAAGAATACTTCTGATCATAATTTATAATTATTCTAATTATCCTCTGTAATTAATAATGTAATAATACTACCTATAATCGGTAGTTTGATGTGTTTTCAAACACCAATAAACCCTTTAATAGATGCCAATGCGTCGGAATATGCATATAGAAGTCGGATCATAAATAGACTGTGGGAGGAAGTTTTTTTGGACGTCAATGGAGTAATCTATATGAAAACGTAAGTAATTTATTCTTGTCTAAAATAAAATTTCATCTCATACATTTTATCTCCAATTAGAGGTGAGGTTGAGAATACAGATCGAAAGTTTCAGTTGGAAATAAAAAGATATAAGGACAAACGTAATACAAATTCTGGTAGTTGGTTCCACGACGCGATCTTATCGATGAATGTTAGCCAAAGTGAAATTCAAGTAGCTTTTGGGGAAGTTGTTGGGAACGCATATTATCACGATGATGTAAAAATGAACGGTGATCGCGAAAAGATCCTTAAAGGTAAAGTGAAATCAAAGCTTTTATTGTGTCATCATGAAAACCACTAACAATATAATCTAACTTCCAGCCATGCAACTGGCTCTCTTTAAGATTCGGCAATTATTTCCTGGAGACAGTCCAAATCTAAAAAATTTGGAAACGTACGGAATTCTTGTGTACAGTAAGTAACAATACGACTTATCAAATATTACGTTTGTCGTACTTGCTAACATAAAATTATACATTTACAGAGAGGGATGTGTTTTTCTACTCTATGCATTGGATCGATGGGGTTTATCTGGTTGACCAATTCGACAAGTTTTTGATTCCCAATGCGTCTACACAATTAAAGAATTTGTCTGATATAATACGAACAATGATCACATTTAAGGTGAGGTAGCAAATCTTATTCATTTTGCAGATCACTGTAATTTGTAACTAACATCCTTTTTATTAATGTATTTGGCCAGAACCGTGTCATAAGCCTACAACAGAATATAGAATCTGCATTGAAGTCTAGAAAGAAACTTAATCGTGGTGGTACTCAACACATAAACGATTCTATTGTTTACGCGTCGCCTCCACAGAAAAAAATTTAAATGTTACTTTTCTATTTTGCAACTTGTCATGAATTTCTATAATTTGTTCTGTTGTGATGCGTGTAATAAATAAAGCTGGCTGATATAATTTTTAGTGATCTGCGTGACAAATTGTCACGAGCATGTGATTTTCCATCGTGATTAACTAATGATTATGTGCCTCTACAGTCCATATCGGGCTAGTGATTTTTAACAACGTAAATCACAAGTCCATCAGCCGATAGGCGTTTCGCATGACGTGTAACTGTATCACATTTTATTTTACAAGCAATCTGATTAGCCGATCATCTCGTGATTTGAGAAACATCGAGTGATACCTGTGGTACGAATTTTATGCTCAGAGACAGAGTGCCGAAAATAATTTAGCCATTGTATTGACTCAGATTTAATTTAACCGAATCATGACTCTTGAGAAAAATTATTCACCCCGAAGTTCTTTGATAACCGAATAAAAATGAATCTGATATTTATTAGAGTATAATATTGCTAAATCAGCTAAATCCACTAAAAAGACTATAAATCAATAAAATCGTTATAAATGCTAATATGAATTTAGATAGTAGAGCCCAATATAAGCTAGTTTCTGTAGGCTATAGTGATGTAAACTTCAAAGAATATAGAAGAATATTAGAAGCATTATGTCCTTTAAGTGAACGATATGATCATAAAACACCAGAAATGTGGTACTCTCGTATTTATGATCCATTTAGAAAAATACTTGAAGAGAATCCAAGAATCCTTTCTAAGAATGGATATATTATAATGTGTGAAAAGCTTTATGAAAATGATAAAGTCCATGGTCATCCAACAAATTATATATATTGTAGTGTATGTGATTCCTTAGTTTTCATATCTGCAACTTTTTATAGTGACCATCACTATTATGATAGCCACTTGATTCTGAAAATACTATTTCAAATGAACATGCAAGAAGAAATGAAATTCTCCAATCTATTGATAGTAGGGAATTTCAAGGCAATATAAACAATACATATTACAAGAAGAGGCTAAAATTAATCATCTTTATCTAGAGCTTTTCTCCCAACCAACTTCACATTCAAAAAAGGATAAGTTGGCATCAGTATTATATGATCATGATGGAAATTTTATGGCTAGCTATGAAAATTATGCACAATTTAAAGCAAAAGATACTATGCCAAGTGCTCCAAATTTTGAATCAACTTGTATTTCTGTTACTTCTGGTAATCAAAAAAAGGTTTCGCCAATTTACTGCTCCCTCAATCATAGATTTCAGGATGTATGTACCAGTCAACTTTTTTTCACCCCAAAGTTCTTTGAACAAAGGAGTAGGCCTACTTCTCCTCCATTGCCACAAAAGCCTATTAAATTAATGGGTAGTCTTGAGAGATACCCCATGCAATATAGTGCAAGTGCATCTGAGTTTAGAAATCTTTGAAATGATTGATCAATTATGTCTAATATTTCTAGCAGGACTACTTTGGATAATCTTGCTAAAGCATATTTCGATTCTATATGAAGAAAATAGACTTAGCCATTAAAGTGCTTCACAATATCTTTCAACCGAATATTAATATTATGTAATATGTATCTTAATTATATTTAGCCAAACATAACATACTTTATTTTTTTGCGAAATGAATAGCTATATAATCTGCATGTATGATCACCTAGTATAATTGTGAAATGTACCACTTGCTAAAGATGGTTAATGGTCTTAAAGACTATGGTCCTCTCCAGTTTTACGTGCAAAAAGACCAGACCGCTTAGGACGCGGTCCTCCATCAGTCTTCATAAATTTTGAAATTTACGATAATTCCAGCTAAAATTAAATAATCATTGCAAAAATATCCTTTTTTGGATTCTTATGTAACCATTTTTCCATTTTGGAAGGAAATAAAATTTCCTTTTTTTGGACTTATATAATGTCACGTGATTATATTTGACCAATTGCAGTAATCGGTCTTTATTAGGACTGTGGATTCAAGATTATGGTCCAGTTCTACAAAGACTGGAACCGGCTTGGACCGGATTGAGACAAACCGAGTAGGATCATTGACCATCTTTACCACTTACAGGATAAAAAACCTGATTTGCCTATTTTGAATTAGATCCTCCAATATACTGTATAACTATTTTAATAAAGTATTTCAGGAAGGTCAATAAAGTGATCTTGGGGATTCTTGATTCCTAAATACTACTATCAATATGGCTTTAAAAATTTCTATGCAACAGTTATCTAGTGAGCTTACAGGAATTACAAAAAGAGAGCTGAATCTTTGGCAAAAAGAGTTTGAAAGGTGGTGAGGAATGATGGTACTTTTGTTAGAAAGAAATTCTTAGGTATACTTACAATTTCTCAAATGAAAATAAATCCTGAGACTCAAAAAGAGTATATTATAATTTGCGATGAGTTTCATGCTCTATTTAAAAAAAGTTACTCAGAATATATTGGAATAATTAATCCAGCCAAAATAATCCCACCATATAAGGAATATATTTATTATTTTCCTAGTAGATGGATAGAAATTAAGAAATATCAGTTAAGATGACGATTGGATAAGGTAATATATGGACCCATTCCTAATTTTTCAGGAAAATTTTTGTTTGAATTGCATTGCATTATTAATTATTATTGTATGATTTGTAATAAATATATATATATAGAATAAATGAAATAATTACTATACATTAATTACCATATATATATTAATTACTATATAATAAATACAAATAAATTTGTTTTTTTAGTTTTAGTGTAGAAGTTACTATATTATTAAATAGATAAAAAAAAAATTTACTTTCATACTTTAGGATTTCTTTTATTATTAATTTATACTTATTATCATTACCTTTAATAGTTTGCCTAAAAAATAAGTAATTTAATAAATTTTTTTTTTCACAAATATATAAGAAAATGCTTTTATATCCCATTGCTTATGAATTTTCATAAACTTGAGTATGTGATATACAAAAATAGAATAATTGCACTTGAATTATACAATTCTTTTTCAATGTAATTAAAATAACTCTATTTAAAATTAAAAATAATTTCAATTAATCTTCTATTTCAAATTAAACCTGATATAGATTATAATCTTCTAGTTTAAGATTGAAGCAAATTAAATTGAATCTATTATACAATTTTCAAATTTTTTTTAACTTATAAAGATAGTAATATTTGACCTAAATTAAAATCTTTTAGAATTTTTAATTTATTACTATCTATTAATAATATTATTGTTTTACTACAATGTTCAATTAGTTTTATTTATTTAAGTTGAATATTACTATTACTTTTTCTTTTACTTTTTCTAGTTTGTTTTAATAAGGTTGCAGATAAAACTTAGCAGTTTAGACAATTATTAAAATTGAAATTGTTTAAACTGTTTTACTGTCGTTGGCCAGAATTATCAATTTTTACTGGCACTATATTTTTTTAATGCTAATCAATCATCATTATTTCAATCACTGGTAATTATCACCTTCAGAACAATTCTTTAAATTATATAATTTATATAATTTAGCAAATAGCAAATTTAAATATATATAAATTAAATTTTATATTAAAATATCAATTTATATAAAATCTTAATTATATTTAATACTTCTAATTCCCAATTGATTTACTTTGCTAATAAAAAAAAAATTAATTACATTTAATAAAAAATATTAATTTTGATTTTAATTTAAATTATATTATTTAATAATAGTAATAGATATATTAAAAGTTTAAACAATTATTGAATTTAGATAATATTAAAATATTTTGTTAATAGTTTAGACAATTTCAATAAAGGTTTAGACTTTTATCAAATTTTAAAATAAATTTAACCTGCAATCTTATACTTTAATATTTCTAAGTAAATTTCAAAAAAATGTATTTTTAATATTAATATTTTTTTATTATTAGAAAATAGTTTCTAAAATAAAAATTTAATAATACTTATGTATTAGAAGTATTAAAAATATATCAAATGAATGTCTTGATGAATAAAAAATTAATATATAATAATATACTAAATATATATTCTATTTACTCAAATTTGAAGATCACAAAAAAAAATCTTTTTGTATTGGTATCATTAACATCTATAACTCTGGTTATACAAAATTTTTATCTAATAATTTTAAACATTTTATTGCTAATTAACTATGAAACCTTAAAATTAAAGCTGTCAAATTTACTAATAAGTATTTTTAAGTTTGTGGTTGATTGTAAAGAGGAAGTGATACAATTCTTCTAATATAGTAAATTTGAGATTTTTAGTAAAAGTTTTTAATGAAAATCTGATTGATATGTTTATTATATCAAATGACCTCACTTTTTGTAAATTTTTTTTAAACATTTTTTCTTTTTATATAAAAATAACATTTTTTTACAAATTATGTTTGAAATTAAATTAAATATATATATCTGGACTCCATTAATTAGAAATATATTTCTTAGAAATGATGATATAAAATTAAGTTATAGAGAATTGGCTTTCAATTAATATAACAAATTAAAAAAAATCTTGAATATTGGTGGAAAATCCTGAATAATACTAATATAACTCACAAATAAACTTTAAATACTGAAGTAAAAATATATTTTATGATATAACTTTGTCAATATTGCTGCTAAAAATGTGATTTTACTATCATTAGAATTCTCTCATCAAGATGAATCTAATAATATAAATTTTATTAAAATTAAGTTACTAATTGTATTAAAAATAAAGATATGTAAAATAACAAAATTTTAAAATATTACACAACATTTGAAAAATTTTAATATAAACTCTAAGCAAACTTAAATGTAAGTTATATCAGTATTGTTTAGGATTCTATTGATGGTTGCAATACTTCAAAATTATCAAATAATAAGGGATTTTTCAAATCTTTAGGTACTAAAATTCTTGTTCAAGAAAATGATATCTTAAGTATTCATAATAAAAAAAAAAGGTTACTTTAAAAAACTGAAGTATTATTTAAAAATAATACTCACAATACTTTTTTTTGCAAAAGCTAAAGCTAATATCATAAAAATTAAGTTATATATCATTCAATCTAATGGACTTTATCTTACAATTTCCATATCAAAGTATTTATTTCAAAATACTATTATTACAATAAACTTTCAAAATATAGAAATTCTCAGAATCATGGAAGACTTTTAAAATTAATAATGGCTATGAAAGTAATCCTTTCTTGAAAACTCAAATAAGAAAAAATACACAAAATTTTATAAAATATTGAAAAATGATTACAAATATTTTAGGACTATTTATTTTTCATTTAAAAAGATAATTATATAAATTAGAAATAGTGTGGTTTTGATATACAATAAAAAGGAGTAAAAAGTATAATAATAATATTTTTTCTAATTTTTATATATAATAAAATAATAATAATAAATTTTTAATAATTATAAAATATAATAGTAAATTTAAACAGTATGATATAAATTATGTTTTATCTTAACCTTACCTTTGTCATTATTTTATAAATTTTATCATAAATACTATTAAAATAAGTGATTCAGAATCAATTTTAAGTGATGATTCTAATGATGCAATTTTTTTAATGATTTTATTAAAAGTATTCCAGATGATAGTGATTCTAGTAAAAGTGAAAATGATTATAATATGAATGTTTTACCTTTGATGTTAGAAGTTAGTTTATTTTTTCTTATTTGAAAGGCTGCTTTTAAATATATTAAACTTTAAATTTAACTTAATTTTATAAGTAAAAATATAATACTTATAAAAAAATATTTCTTATAGTTAATTACATATAAATATATTATTTTTTGAACTTTATTATAGTTTTTGTATTAATAAAATACTAATCAAAAATATTTTCAATTACTTTTTACTAATAATTTATTTAATTAAATTAGTAAGTAAATATTAAATCTAGCAGTATTTTTGCATTATATTTAAGTTTTAAATACAAGTTATAAATCCAATTTTTAAAAATAATAGAAAATTAATAAAAAATATATTTTGTATTTAAAATTTGACAGTAGTATTATCTACTTTACAAAAAATCACTATATATAAATATATATATATATATGTATTTATTATTGTAAATCTAAATACAGTAACTTTTCAATTATTTTATAAAATTTTTAAATATATTTAATATATTTGAAGTATTTTGAAATTAATATATTAAAATAATATTAAAGTTAATTACATTACAATAATAAAATAATTATAAAAAATTATTGTGATATTATTTTGAATTATTTTTATAGAACTAGATACAATACAATTATAAAATAATAACAAAAGTATATTTAATATATTTTAAAAATGTATTTTAAAATTATTATAAACCTAATTCAAAAAAAAAAATAACATATAAATTAAGATTACTTGTAATATCTATAATGCAAAATTTTTTTAGTATTATTATAAGTGAGAAATTAGGAATACTGTTAATAAATTAAATAAATAAACTTTTATATATTTAGTTTGCAATTAGTTATAATAGGATTTTTATAATATGATGCATTTAAATTTTAAAAGTCTTTTAAATTAGATAATATTTTTAAAATATTAGATATAGATTAGTAATTATTAATAATATCTTCTAAGATACCTATGATTTTAAAAAAAAAAAATTCTCCGGAGTCTAATACAGGTGTGTTTCTTAAATTTCTCTTTTAATTGAGTTGACATGTTTATTAGGGAAGGAGTTAACTTTTGGAGTTTAATTAGAGTAACCAGATTTATAGAAGTGTCCGAGTAGGCATGTAGTACATAATTTATTGTTTGAATAAAAATTTTGTACAGGATGAACATTATTTAGGGTTATCATTACACTTGTTCCAAGTACAATGGTATAATTTTTGTTCTATTTTATTTTATTTTTTTTTAATTCACGATTGACTTTTCCTATGGTAGTACCGGTCCATCATGTACTCAGAGAGCATAGTTTTATAGTTTTTGTTTTATTCTGAGCTATACCGAATATTTACCGATTACCATATCTCTCGATGACTAAGAGTCTCGTAGCATTACGTAAACATCGTTATATCGGGAAATTTTAGGAAATCTTTATCCAATTTAGTTGAGCATAAAATAAACCAAATTTCCCATATTTTTTACTTACTTTCTTGTCCTCTAGTCTTCCTTTTCTTATAATAAATAAACATGTTTCGAAGTATAACAATTCTCGTTTTAATCTTTGCAATTATTACAGCACTTTCTTATAATTGGATATATGAATTTTATACTGTTTTTGGATATAATAGACCGCATATTAAACCTTATGAAAATGGAAAGTGTAGAAAAATCGAAGGTGAACAAATTTCTTTTGAATTTTTTTTTACATACATATATATATATAGCTTCATAATTGTGAAAAAAAAAATAATCATATTGTACAATATAAAGGTGTTGAGGCGTGTGAAGATATTCATATTCATCATCGTACTGGTTACGCTTTTATGGCTTGCGGAAAAGAAATTGAAAGAATTAGAGGTTATTGGCCTCCAATTGGTACTTATAATTCCAGTATTCAGTCAATAGATACGCCTTATATCTACGATATCAATGTAAGTTAGAATTATATTATTAATTTTTCATTACAAATATATACTTATTATTAATTATTAATATATATATATATATATATGAACGTTTTTTCTTAGAATGATAAACTCATTCCACTTGTCTTGAAAAATTTCCCCCCTGAAGAAGATTTTGCAACTCATGGATTAGGAATTTATGAAGATCCTGAAAATGAAAATAAATTATATTTATTTTTCGTAAATCATAAAAGATCTGGAAGTTGTTTTGAAATATTTGAACATACTTTACATACAAATGAATTAATTCATTTAGAAACAATTCAACATGAATTAATAAATACTCCAAATGATGTTTTCCCAGTTTCAAGACATGAATTTTATTTTACTAATGATCATTATTTTAGCAACCCCATAAATAAACTGTTAGAATGTGAGTTTTTCTATTATATAAATTTCGTATTTCATGATTTTTTTTTTTTAAAAAAAAAAAATTAATTATCTATTTTTTACTATTATTACAAGATATTTTCCCTCTTCCATGGGCGAATGTAGTATTCCATTCATCAATCACGAATGAAACTAAAATTGTTGCTGAAATGCGAACTCCTAATGGAATTACCGCGAATTTTGATCATTCTCTATTATATGTTGCCACAACATCTGGTCATGTTTTAATATATGAAAGAAACAAGAATAATAACGAACTTAAATTAAAGGATAAAATGTTCACAGGATATGCTACCGATAATCTTAGTGTTGATGAAGAAACTGGTGAAATTTATGGTGCTAGTAAGTAATATTTTATTAGAAACTAATCTTGTTTATAAATTTATATAACTTATTATTATTATTTTAATAGTTTTTCAAGACCTATACCAGATTATGATTTATGGCAACGATCTAGAACTTCCTCTTATGGCAACTGGAATATTTAAAATTAGTAATAATACTAAAGGGGGTGATGAAAAATACTCTCTTGAAACTATTTTTGAAGATGATGGATCTTTATATAAATTAACAACGATAGCCGCTGTAGATAGAAAAAGAAATACTTTACTTCTTGGTTCTTATCGTTCTAAAGGTATTGTAAGATGTGATAGTTTAGAACCATAAATTTAAAAATTATGAATATTATTAGAATTGTTGTGTATTAAATAATTTATATAGTTATAAAATATATTACAATTTAAAAATTTCTGCTAAAACTGTGTATGTTATGTATGATATGTATGAAATGATGACATGATGACAAACTTGATCATAAAATACAATTTCATCAAATTCTCGTTTAAAGGATTTAACAGAGTCTCTTCCTAAGTCAATGTTAAACACTTGCTTCCAATCTGAGAAAATAATGTGTAAACAATCTAAACTCTAAAGCGATAATCCTAATGGTTTAGATGTTCGCAATATAGAGGCGTTTTGGAACTTGAATTCGAGTCACTAATAACAGAAAATTCCTGAAAAAGTTTACTTAACCATCGAGAGATCAAAACTGAAAGAATACGTAGAGACTCTAAATATTTTTTTCGTACTAATACTTCACGTGGCAGTTGCAGTGATTTTGGTTGTCACGTCATTATTATTATAAGTTATAGCTAACATAATATGATTAATAATGTACTAGACTAGTGAGTAGTGAAATTTATTTAGTATTTTATACAATTTCAAAAAAAAAAAACATTACAGCAAATTAATAAACACTATTAGGGAAACTTTATTAAATTTATTTAATAAAAAGCTGAATTAAGTAGCTTAAGTAGCACGTTTGTAAGCCGTAAAAGACGATTTTTCTGGTAATAATAATAACAAGATATTGATGGTTAATATCACAGTGAAAGATTAAATACCAGCTAAATAATTTAAGTTATTATATTATAACCTGCTGATAAGTAATTTATAAAAATTGAAATTATAATTAACTGTAGTTAAAAAGCTGATATTATGTACGAACATATTATATAATGGTTTAACTTAAATAAATGTTGTTAACAAATAATTAATTCTCGACAGGTGGTTACTGCAGTAAATTTCGTTTTTAATGGCGCATTCATATAAAGTAATCCCACGTCATACTTTCTATAAATCAATGCAGTTAAAAGTTTTAATTCAATCATTGCAAATTTTCGTCCTGTATAATATTTATTTAATTTGAGAGCAGCGTCACATTTTGTATCCTTAATTAACCACTCTCTATCATCCATGCTTTTCATTCATCATTAGGTGATAAATGTGGGGCAAGTCTCATACGAATATTAGGTATCTGCGTCCCCTATGCCATGAAAACATTATTACAACACCAAACCGTATCTACGATTTCACACATGTAAACCACGTGATAACATGAACATTTTATTAACTGTTTCTTTTTAAACTACATAATAAATTAAAATAATTAAAATATATTTCTATCTAAATTAACCTAAAAAGTGTTCGTTTTAGACGCATTATTTAGTGAATTACAAGCTATTTGTCTATAATTACGTCTAAAATTCTGTATAATAACAAAATGACTTGCCGATTCGATCTTATTTGATTCAAAAGATATTTCTCTAATCTTTTTGAAAATCTTTGTTCCTTGATGACGAGATTTAAAAATAACTTTATTAGAGATATCTTGTGTAATATTATTCCAATTATGACAAGATTCACCTGATACCAAAATATATTTCATATTATATATATTTGATTTATTATAAGTAAAATATAAAAAACCAGATAATTCGAATTTATTATTCTCCTCTTTTGAAGAAGAAATTCTTATTGATCCAATAACTGTATTATTTGATATGTTTATAGTATATAAAGGAATTTTTCTAGAAATTTGTTGTAAATTTTGATTTGAAATTATAATTCCATCATTATAATTTGGTTCTGTTTTAAGGTTATCTGAAGGAATGTAATACAATAATATGATAACTGATATAAAATAAATGAATGAAAAGAATAAAGCGTATTGTCGAAATGACGATAATAATATTTTCTTATCAAAAATTTTTTCAAGTTTTTGTGTAAGTATGTACATTGTTTTTATTTGTAAAAATGAAGTTTTTGAAAATGTAAAGTGTCTAAGAGATAATTTTATAATTTTTTTGAATAAAAATAAATATATATGATATTGACCTCAACCAGCGAGATTTGAAGAATTAATAAATTTATTTTATAAGGAAATTCAAAGATGAATTTATATGAAGAGGAGGACCGCAGTAACAATTAGTGTTTAAACTAATTCTGTCTCATAATCGGCTAAAACTTGAAACATTTATATTGTATGCATGTAACAAAATTGGTTCTTTTTTTCTTGCTTTTCTTTTTTTGAATAAAAGGACTCACTTTGTTATAATAATTGCTAAAATTGTACCAAGATAAGGTAAAAGACGAAACAGCTAACAAAGAAATGTGTTAAACTTTAAACTTTGTATTTCCAAATTCGGGTAAAAAGTTCCCTCAGCCCAGCCCATTTAAACTATGATAATAAATGACAAGCGAAGTCCTTCCGATTATTTTAGCCCACTAATACCCTTTATTATAATTAAAAGGATAAATTGTCTCTTAAGAGTTTTCTCTATTATTTTACAGATTAAGAAAACCTAGTTCAAAAATTTATTTTTATTTTCCTCACTTTTCTCTTTTAAGTAGAGTCAATCGGTCTTACTTCGGTCCGGATCCAGAATTGCCAGAATTGTAGATCATATTATCGGATATCAATTTCTGGACGTTGGTTTCTCCGTAATTGGGAAGTATATAATTGTTGAATTTTTTTTGTGCTACAACGCTAACAAACAAGGTTAGTAAATTTTGATCCCCAATCCAATTAATCAGTTCATTCAGTTCAGGGCCTTGGAACCTTTTATTCGGTATCTATGATCTATCACAGAGAAACCAAACTTTATTTTCGTCATTTCATCTTTACTTAATCTTGTTAACGTCGCAAAAAAAAAAAAAAAAATTCAAAGCGCTTCATTATTACTTTTCAAAAGACCGTCGTCCAGGATCAATTGATCGATAACTTTTTGCTATAATTTTAATTATATCTGATATGATTAATAATTCAATGTTTCATTCAATTTTGAGATTCTTCTATCTATAATTTTTTTAAAAACAATAAAAATCATCCAAATAATGTAATGATCGACGTATCCCCCTCAAATAATAAAAAAACAATGAAAAAAAATTTCATTTTTAAATAATTTTCATTACTATTTATGGTTAAATTAATGCTTCTTTTAAATAACAGATTTTGGGTTTTGAATGTGAAAATTGATAGATTACCAAAAAAATTTGCTCTTATCTTATTATGTTTTTTTTAATTAATAAATATTTACAGTAAGATGGACGAATAATATCTAAAATTTCTAAAATTCTTTTTTATAAAAAAATCAATTAATATAAATTAATGGTATTACGAATTTTATTTCGTAGTACATTGAGAATTATCATCATATCAGTTATTAAAATTTTTTGTTAATGACATTAATATTTAAGAGGTAGAATTTCTTTCACTTGGAAGGATTCAAGCTTTTTTTTTTTTAAAAAAAAAAATCGTCAAATTGGCCTCGCAGAAATCGGAATTAAAGTTTTTTTCGTATATATTCTTACGGAAATTTGTTATCATTCCGTTAAGTGACTTTATTTTTTTTTCTTTTCAAGATAAAACTCCATAGACCATAATTAATGTCAGTTAATACAGAAGAGATTGACGAATTTCCTAAAGGTGATTCCTGTCCAGTCTGTAAGAAAGTTTATAATAACGCACTTTTTTGGTGTACCGTATGCGATTCAAAACGTCTTCAAGATGATTTTCCAAATTGGACGAGTGAATTTCATGAATTAGATTTATGTATAAGAAATACTCAATTAAATGCTGATGCACATACAGAATATCTTGAATGGATCCCTTTTGAAAAATTTGAGAATATTGAGAAGATTAAAGAAGGAGGATTTGGAATTGTTTATTCTGCTACTTGGATTGAAGGTCCAAGATGGAAATGGGATAATGAACTAATGAAATGGGTTGCATCTGGTCCAAGAAAGATTACTTTTAAAACTCTTAAACGTGATGGTATTGATGAAAGACGTAAAGAATTCCTCAAAGAAGTATGAATAAAATTTACTTAAAAAATATAAACAAAAAAAATAAATAAATAAATAAAATAAATGCTTACCTTATCTATATCTGTATAAATCTGTTATACAAGGTTGAGCATCATTCTATTTGCATTGGTGTAAAAAGAATAGTTCATTGCTTTGGTGTAACTCGTCATCCGGATACAGGACGTTATATGATGGTTACTAACTTTGCAAATCAAGGTCAGTTTTAAGTTTTAACGATGTGCACATAAAAGTATAATGTATATATATATATATATTAATTCAGTTTTTTACTTCAGGTGATTTAACTTCTTATATTAAAAAGAATCATCAAGAATTGTCATGGGAACGTATCATTCACTTATCACATGATATCGCTAAAGCTCTTCGAGAACTTCATAGAAAGGTGAACTACAATTTATTATACCTCTTATGTTTCAAATAATATATGAATAAATTAATTTAATATTATACTCTTCGTATATTATCCAGAAACTTATTCATTGCGATCTTCATAGCGGTAACATCCTGAATCATATTACATGCTACGGAATTTTGTGGACCTGGATTGCTGATTTAGGACTATGTTTGAAAGAGGATGATATTGCGAATCAAAAGACGAATAATAGCATTTTTGGAAAAATTGGGTATATGGCACCTGAAGTGCTTCGTCGAAATTCATATTCAAAAGCTGCAGATGTATATTCTTTTGGGATAATACTTTGGGAATTAACATCTTGTCGTATGCCATTCTCTGATGTGAGACAAGACATTCACCTCGTTTATGAAATTATTGAAGGTAGAAGACCCAAAATAGTTGAAGGTACACCACCTGCATTTGCTAAACTTATTCAAGATTGTTGGAATCCGGATCCAAATTTGCGGCCAACCATGGAAGAAGTTCGTAATAGAATTTGGAAATTTTCAAATTCAATGATTAAAGGAAATCGCAAAGATGTATTTGGATTTAAAGCTGCAGAAGAAAAAAGATGTTTAAGTTTATTAACCATATCAAAACAAATATATCCACAAGTCATTCATAGTCAACGGATTTGGAATGAAAGTCATATTCTAAGGTTACCATTTCTCGTTAAAAATGGTACAGTATTTAAGAATTTATAAATGTTGTTTTATTGATATTTGATATTAACTCGTTAAATAAAATTTTTTTTTTTTTTAGATTTAATTAAATTCAATGATGATGATTGTATTACTGGTAGGTTTTTTTTTTAATCCAATGATGATTAGAATAATATTCATAATATTAATATTATATATATATACTATATGTATATATTTTTTAGATACTCATGGATATAGCTGCGCAATTTCAATTGGTAAATTTGTATTTATTATAATAAAAGGTTTATACAAAATGATATTTATTTTTACTTATATTTTTTTACTTATGATTTATTATTTTATAGATCCTTCAATTCCATCAATTTCAATCACCTATCCGAATAGTGGTCTTATGAATGGCCGTTGTATTCCAAAATTTAATGACTCAAACATTGGTCATATTGTTTATTAGTATCGTTATATTTAACACACACATCTATAATGTGTGACAAGTTAGGTCGATCATACTATAATACGTGCTGGCGAGAGTTCGAAAACACTTGGATTTTTTGAAAGATATTATTTGTCACCTGCACGTGACCTAACCTGTCACACATTACATATGTGCATAAGTGCATTTATCACATAATTCAATCAGTTCGCAATAAAGCTTATTTGTACTAGTTAATAACCGAAAAATGTATATTATTAAAACAGTATTTGACTATCTAAAATTCCGCAGCCAATAACTATAGCACGTGACTTTAAGATCCGTGTTTAAAATTTAAATCCGGTTAATCCGACGATAATTTATCCGGATATTAATAGTAAACGGATATCCGGATAAATTGATGCACTACTTCTGGGTATTCGTCTTACCTACGCGTAATCACATGTCATTTTTTTGATTATATTATGGAAATGAGAATTCAGCTGATATGGGCTGATATGATCCGAATGTAACATAAAAAAATCAGGCGATATATATATCGGATGTAATTTAACCGTTTTAACCATTGGTGATATTTAGCAGTGTGTAACATATAATGGAGTGAAACAAACGTACGTGATAAATAACACCCCGGCCGGCATTATGATAATTTTGGCTAGGTTATGTTATTTATCACATGTGTATAGTATCACGCGGGGGCTTATACACTACACAACACCTCCTACCCTACACCGTATTACTCAAGAACTTCTCACGAGAAAATTAGATATAATAAAGTATTAAATACAGTGGTCTCTCACCTACTCTTTTTATTGCCCACTCAATCTTTTTAATTAACAGGATGAAGATGAATTATCTAACGATGTGTTTCGAATCATTTAAAAAAACCGACATATTAATTGTTTTATTAACTACAATACTTATTTATGTAACACATTTTTATTATAAATATTTTACCAGAATAAATCCTCTTCCAGGACCAATACCACTTCCAATTATTGGAAATCTTTTAAATAAATCTGGAGATTTAGATGAATGGTTTTTAAAATTACATAAAAAATATGGCGATATATTTGAAGTTGTATTATTAGGACGAAGAAGAATAATTCTTTGTCGTGGGGATTATATTGAAAATATGTTAAACCATTCAAAAAATACTAAATATTTTCTTCGATTTCCTCATTTAAAAGAATTAGATGATTTAAAATATTTTGGTACTGGAATTATAACTAATTATAATTATAATTCTTGGAAATATAATAGAACATTTTTTTCTCAAGCTATACTTACACCTAGTTTTGCTAATGAAGCTTTAAATCAAGGTCATCAATTATTTTATGAAATGGAAAATTATTGGAAAGATATTGGTCCTGATACTCCAACAGATTATTCAGCTTGGATGCAACGTTTTACAAATGATATGATTATAGTTTTAACTACAGGAAAAAGAATTTATTCTTTACCTTCTTATTTTAATACAATAAGTGAAAAAAAATCTGATGTTCCTCCTGCTTCAATTGAAGATTCTGAAGCATTTATTAAATCTCTTCGAATGTTAATTTTAGGAAATGCCTTCTTTATTATTATACCGACTATTATTAGACGTTATTTTCCTTTCTTTAAACAACATCAAGATAAATTATTGAAAAATCGGGATTATTTTTATAGTAAACTTGAACAAATTATTGAAAATAGAAGAAAAGAAATTGAAGAAACTCCATTAGATGTATCTCTCAGACATGATATGTTGACTTCTTTTATTACAGCAAATACACCCCGTGATATCAATAAAACTAGAAATGTTGATGAAGAATTCTTGAGACCTATGACAGATGAAGAAATTCTTGGAAGTATGGGAGATGCTATAGCTGGTGGTACTGACACGGTATTAAAAAAATTTTTTTTTTTATTATTATCTGTAAAATTGGAAACCCCGATTTAACGATAATTTTTATTATTTATCACAATAGACCGCGAATTCTTTAAGTTTTATTGCTTATTATCTTCAACATAATCCGGAAATAAAAGAAAAATTACGACAAGAACTTTATCAAGTCCTTGGAGATGATACGACGCGCCCAGTAACAAATGGAGATCTTGATAAACTTAAATATACTGAAGCTGTTATCTATGAAATAGCTCGCATAAAACCTGTTATCAACATGATGATGAGATATAGTAGTGAACCTGACGAAATCGCTGGTTATAAATGGCCAGCAAGGACTATGTTTCATATGAATTTTGCAGCTATCAATAAAAATAAAGCTCATTGGGAAGATCCTGAGAAGGTAGATCCAGAGAGATTTATGAAAAAAGATGAAAAGAGGCATAAATGTGCTTTTAACATGTGGGGTGGGGGTCTAAGGATTTGTCCAGGTAATTATTATTATTTATATCTTTTTTTTCTTAATTTAAGATGTCGTTATTAAAAGATTTATTTCTTAAATTACACACTTTTCTAAATAAATATTATACAGGACGAAAACTTGCAATGATTGAATTGAAACTTTTAACTGCATTGATTTATAGAAAGTATGATGTAGAATTAGTTGATAAGAATGCGCCATTAAAAACGAAATCTACTGCATTAACTACCTGTCAAGAATTAATGGTTAAAATTAAACCTCTAAATCCTAACTAATATAAATTAAGTTTACTTTAATTGAAGATTAAATATATTAATTATGTATTCAATACCATTATTTGTTAAAGTAACATTTACTTGTATTTATTTATTACATATTAAAATTAAAACATTATGTTCGTACATACATATATAACTTTTTAACTACAGTTTAATTTTTGATATCAATTAGGGCAGTGACATTTATTACGTAATATTTTAGGGGGTGGGAGGGTATTTAAAGGTCATATAACATATAAGTGTAACGTAAGATTTTTCATATTACATGGGGGTGAGGGAGTATGGGCTTATAGTAAATGGATATTATGTAATAAATGTCACTGCCCTTACCGATACTCGTAAATTTATTTGTAATAACCTAATTATTTTTTTTTTACTTTACATGAACTATTTAACCGGTATTTAAATAGTATTCAATTTGAGTTTGTTTTTTACTGTGATATAGAGCACAAGTTCAAATAGTCACTAACTTTGTCAATATCTTTTTCAACATATTTATCATTATTGCAGTAAAAAAAATTTTGTTTATAACTATTCTACGAGTGGTGGGTCGCATTCATTTCTATCTCACCGCCGACAGACGTTTCACCGACGGTCATTTCGCAGACAAATGTTTCCCCGACAATTATCTCGCCGACAAGTGAATTTAGGATTAGAATTAGGGTTAAGTAAGAAATTAGGGTTAGGATTAGAGTTTGGATAAGGTTAGAGTAAGTGGATTAGGATTTCAAAACTGTCGGGTGTCGGTGAAATGAGCCAGACCCGTCGGCCATCACTGCAATGCAACTGCCAATCAAGTATATCCGTGAAGTGGTTACGCAGCATTATCAGGCCAAAGAAGTATTGGTTCTGATCTCTTTTCATGAATATGTAAGAATTTGATTGGTTCGTACTTTTTTCAAAGTTCCTTTGATCCTTCTTTTTGATCCGCTATTAACGATTCGAATTCAAGTTCCTTATTGCGAATTTGTCTGAAACTATTGGGATAATTTTATGAGTATTTTATCTGTTCACAATCTAGGTTGTTTACACAAGTTTTTAACTTTGGCTTAGGGAGAGACTGTGGTAAATCCTTTAAATCCTTTATTGTATTTTATGATCAAAGTTTGTCATCATGTTATACAAATCATACATACACAGAATTTTTTAAAATTGTAATTAAAATTATAAATTATAAATTATATAAAATTATCTAATAATTGATTTACAGAAATTCTAATAATATTCTAGTATTTAAATTAATGGTTCTAAACTATTACATCTTACAATACCTTTAGAACGAAAAGAACCAAGGAGTAAAGTGTTTCTTTTTCTATCTACAGCGGCTATCGTTGTTAATTGAAATAAAGATCCATCATCTTCAAAAATAGGTTTAAGAGAGTATTTTTCATTATCCCTTTCAGTATTATTACTAATTTTTAATATTCCAGTCGGTACAAAAGGAGCATATCCTAGTTCCTTGCCATGAGCTGCTACAACCATGTATGGTTTTGGAAAGACTATTAAAAATAATAATAATAATAATAATAAATAAATAAGTTATTTTAAATTTAATAAACAAGATTAGTTTCTAATAAAATATAACTTACTAGCACAATAAATTTCACCAGTTTCTTCATCAACACTAAGATTATCGGTAGCATATCCTGTGAATATTTTATCCTTTAATTCAAGTTCGTTATTATACTTGTTTCTTTCATATACTAAAACATAACCAAATGTTGTGGCAACATAGATAAGAGAATTATCCAAATTCGAAGTAATTCCATTAGGAAGCCGCATTTCAGCAACGATTTTAGTTTCATTCGTGATTGATGAATGGAATACTACATTTGCCCATGAAAGAGGCAAAATATCTTGTAATAAAAAAAAAATAATAATAATAGATAAATATAATTGTTTTTTTTTTAAAAAAAAAATCATGAAAATATGAAATTTATATAATAGAAAAAACTCACGTTCTAAATGTTTATATGTAGGATTGTTATTATAATGATCATTAGTAAAATAAAATTCGTGTCTTGAAACTGGAACAACATCATTTGGAGTATTTATTAATTTATGTTGAATTGTTTCTAAATGAATTAATTCATTTGTATGTAAAGTATGTTCAAATATTTCAAAACAACTTCCAGATCTTTTATGATTTACGAAAAATAAATATAATTTATTTTCATTTTCAGGATCTTCATAAATTCCTAATCCATGAGTTGCAAAATCTTCTTCAAGAGGAAAATTTTTCAAGACAAGTGGAATGAGTTTATCATTCTAAGAAAAAAACGTGTATATATATATGTATATATTAATAAGATAAATATATTTGTAATAAAAAAATTAATAACATAATTTTAACTTACATTGATATCGTAAATATAAGGCGTATCTTTTGTCTGAATATTGGAATTATAAGTACTAAGTGGCGGCCAATAACCTTTAGTTCTTTTAATTTCGTTTCCGCAAGTCATAAAAGCATACCCAGTACGATGATGAATATGAATATCTTCACAAGCTTCAACACCTTTATATTGTACAATATGATTATCATGAAGTTATATATATAAAAAAAACAAAATAAAGTTTAGAAGAAATTTGTTCACCTCTGATTATTCTGCATTTTCCATTTTCATAAGGTTTAATATTTGGTCTATTATATCCAAGAACAGTATAAAATTCATATAGCCAATTATAAGAAACTGCTATAATGATTACGAAGATTGTAATGAGAATTATTATACTTCGAAACATTTTTATCTATTGATAGAAAAAGAAAACTAGAGGAAAGAAAACGAAAGCATGGGAAATTTTGTTTATTTATGCTCTTGTCATAATCGAATCTTTTAAAGATTGGAAGTTTCGGAAATAGAAAATTCCGAAATCTAAAATTTACCAGTATATCGCAATGTATGAGATACCGAATAATTTTCAGACACTCGTTAATATTCGGTATAGCTCAAAGTAAAAAATGACAAGGCGTCTCTGTAATACACAATTAAAATAAATAATATGAATTGCATATTTTACACATATTGTTTGAATACTATAATTGATATCCGACAAGTTCAGATTTTAGAATAGATTTTATACGCTGGTAGAGGTTTAACGTTGCGCTAAAGCTCATTGCGCACGCATTTGGCATGACAATTTCATGCAGGCCGATCAATTATTTCGTCTTTTCATAAAACTTTATTGTGAGTACAAAATATCTAGATGGAGCTTAATTTTTTACATTCATAAATTATACGATATACATTTTTTTTTTAGATCAAAAAAATAATGTTATTAAGAAGTCAAGAACATTATTTTATTATAAATTTGTCAACATTTTTAAAATGAAAAAAAAACAAAAAAGACTTTTTTTTAATAATATACTTAATATACTAGGTATTCAAAAGTCCGTTGCACTATTTAACAACAAAATTATCGTATCACGAAATTTATTAATGTTATTAGTGTTACAAGTCCGATCTATACTAAATTTGTCGCATTCTCCGAAAAATTTCTTGTAAAACCGGGAAAGTTTTCACGATTCTGTTACTCAGTTATGTTAGATTTTCGGGGAATTTTACAAATACCGATGTTTTTCCGGATTTTTTCCGAAGGCTGGTTACAAATTACCCAAAAAAAAATATGATTAAAAAAGGAATAGGGTGTACAGTCGCCTCTGGATACAACGAACCTGGATATACCGAAAACTCGTTTTATCGAACCAAATAGTGCGGAACCGATTTTTTTATAATTAATAACACTGGATATAACGAAATTATATGGTAAAATGCTATATACCGCGTGTTTATTGATCAAATATATTAGCCACATGAATTAAAATTGGTATAATTTTAATCATGTGACTTGATTTTATTGGTAGAATCTATATACGGTATGTTGATTAAAGTATTATAAATGATTCCAGCGTAGTTGTAGAAGAGTTTTAATTGGAACAAACATGATCCCGCCTTAACTCCTGAAGACCGTCTCAATCGCGCTCATCAACACCGATTCTTATTTGATGAATCGCAATCTATAGATAAACCTATACAACACTTGAAATATCTTTGACTCCCATCACATATTTCTCCAAAAGACACTTTTTCGAACCCTAGATTTATTAGAAAAAGAAAATTTCGAACGACTACCATCACTGTTCCAGATGATAAGGAAACTATTGATGGTCAAATAATCACTTATAATTTCGTAATCTCTAAGGACTTAATTCCTTTCGTACCGAATATACCGGTATATGCATCCGATCAGGATAAACGTGAAAACATACCTATACGACCAGGAAGTAAAACTTGGTTGCAGCTGCTGGAAGATCGTAAAGCTTTACATAATAAACAAGAGCAAGAACGCCGAAAAACATTGGCCGCCATCCGTAAACGACAAGACATACTAATCCGGCAGCAAGAACAGGTGGCTTCTCATGCTCGAAAATTAAACAAGATAATGGAGGAACATCGTAAAAAGATTTCTCCCAATGAACCTATTTTAAACAATAACAAGCGATTGATTGAAGCTAAAAGTTTATACACGCTAGCTGCGGCCCAGGATGCGAAACTCCTTGGCACCACCATCGAATATCTACCTATCAAAGAATTGTTAACCGAGGAATTTACACAGCGATCACATAAATTCCACAACAAGGTTAGCGAATGGATCAAATTTTTACAACAAGACCCTCTCGAACTATTCAATGAGATTTACGTCGATATGAAAGTATGAAACTCTTCGACGCTAGCAAATTCTTCGACATACCTCTATACAAAGCTTCCTTGGAACTTACATCACCTTTTGAATTACGGACTAACAAACGTAATACTGATAACATTTTCTTTTCAGACTCTTTGGAGCTTAAACACATAGATAAAAGACCTAGATACACGTCCATTTCTGACATGGATTGTGACATTTATCCACTCATTTAATATGAGTTTTACCCTATGATATCTCAGAGGAGATATTTCTTTTTCTAAATAATCGTTTTAACCCGACTCCCGGTTGTTTAGTTTGGCAATTTAAAAATTCCCTTTTTACATTTAGGAGTCTAAAAACTTTTTTTTAGTCGTAGCTTTTTTATGAAATCACTCCAAGCTACCGCTAATTAATTTTTTACAACACCAACAATATCAAATAGTGTGAATCACTCCACCTATGACAGTATTTACAGGGGTGGCGACCTTCGGGTCGAAAGAAAAATACGGATCATTAAATTTTTTATTTATTTTTCTTGATTGTTTCTTTCCGGGTTGGCGGGTGAGTTCTGGGGGTGATCGTGGATCCTTCCCGTTGCTCGCTTTTCTTCAAGGTCAGATGTCACTGCCTGTTGTGGCGGTTTTTTCGTTAGTGATAGAATTACTTTCGGCTCAATTTATTTGTTGTCCTTGTAATTTGTACTTCGAATTGGTTCGTCTGAAACATAAAAATAAAAAATAAAATAAAATTAAAGTATTATATAACGAATTCACCCTATACCGAACCAAACTCTCTGGAACGGAGGGTTCGTTATACCCAGTGGCGACTGCTGTAGTTGGTGGGTTAATTATACCGCAATTGTATTATCAGCTCTCGATATAACGAACCCTTTGGTTTACAACTCAAAGATTATATAGCGAAGAATGGGAACCATTCAAAAAACCCGACGATTAGATAATACTGACAAATCATAATCTCGAAAATTCCGACACTGACACTTATTTTTTATACGTTATTATTTTTTTTATTAGGCGCAAGAATTAATGTTTTTATTGTAAAAATTAGCTGTTGTTAACATGTCGCAAAAATTAAGTAACAATTTAAGTAACAATTATATATTTTTATTAATATGTAAAGATTTTTAATTTATTTTAAAAATTAATAGGTTTATTAATATTTAATAATTTAATAATATTTCAATTTAATGAATTATTATTAATGTTATTAGTTAGAAAAAATAACTTTCAGTATTTTAATATAATGTAATTTATAACATTAACCTCTTTGAAAAGATGCTGTCCGGATACTTTTGGCAGGTGAGAGTACATGTGAATCATACATAAAACATTTATAAATATTCTATAGTATATGCAGATAAAATATTTATGTAATGTCGCATTATACTTAATGTTGTTTCTATACTGATCCTATAGAATGAATCAGCGTATGATAAGATTTGGACTGAGAGAATTGGACGAAGCAGTATTCATTCTAGAATAACGAAGGTCATGTGCACATCGAGTCATTATCTATTTATACATCAATAAATACCATAGAAAGACTAAGAAACAATAATCTGTGACACAATAAAACGAAAAATCTAAAAAGAACAATAAATGAAAGTGATCTATAATTGATGTGATTTAAATCGCAATCTTCGTCACAATTTGACAAATCAAAATTTTCATACTCTTTTGCAGTTGATACTTTATTCTCAGTTTGTTCTCCTTTTGCTTTCTTTGAAATCAAAATCAGTTGATACTTCATTTTTTTTTCAGACATAATAGGAACAATACTTTTGAGTTTTGAAATCACTTCGCAAATACCCGGCTTTTCATCTGATTCGTGTTGCCAACTTAACTGTTAAAATTGTAATATTAAATAATATTAGTAGTTTTACTCACTTTCATAAAGAGCAACGAATTTACCATTTGTGTTTTGGATAGGTAAGAATTTCTAACATTTTCGTCTTTTTTTTGTTTCATAATCAAAAGGCGATGAACAGCTTGTTAATTTCCCAGAAGATGTATATGTCAGATTTTTCTGTTATTTTGTAACTTGTATAAAATATTTGGGATCCACGTAGGATATTGAGTCACGCGGTTTAGTAGACACTTTTTCTCCCTCTAAACATGAACACCAAAAATCAGGATGCATTAAGATATTTTTGGGATTCTAAAAAAAAAATGTGTTAATTACGTGATAAAGTGAAACATTTCTTTGAAAGAATGAAATATGATTATATTTACTAGATCTCCGTGTATAATTTTATTATGATAACCAGAAAACTGCAACCGCAATTTCTTTGGCAAACTTTAATTGTCTTTTCCATTCAATTAAAGCTCTAGCATTGTCTCTTAAGTGTTTTTCTAATGTTCCGTCTTCCACATATTCAAGAACGAACGAATAATTCGCATTGTCTAATAATAAAAAATATGTAAACAAGATACTTAAAGTAATATATGATAATTACATAATTAGGTATTTACTCTACTTTGTAACTTCGTAACCCAAAAAAACCTAATTATACTTGGATGAGAACTGAGAAGCTATTTTCATAATCTTGATCTATAAAGAAAAAGAATATAAGTAACCATATCGAAGAGGAGGAAAATATTCAAGATATACTGTAGTTCGTTATATAGGTTAAATAAATTAATCAGAATTTCAAGATGGTTAAATAACGCACTTCATTAATTATTTCCTCTTTCTTAGAACTTTCGTTAAATTTCTTAATCGCAAACATTGTTAGTGTATTCTTTCAGTATGCGGCCTGATCTAAAGAGGATCCTCCAAAGCCGATAATCTTAGGAAGAATCTTGAGGTCTTTAGAGTCATAATATTTAAGGCGTGTCTATATATAACGAAAGTCGAATTATTGGGACTAAAATCAAGATAATTTTTATGTATTTATAAAATGGTACATATAAAAAAGTATCAACAATGAGTTATTTATTATGATTGTAATCATGGTTTAAGATTACGATCGAGTAAGACGAAAATAATATCGAATTAATTGCATGATTTTAGAAAATCATTAATTTAACAAAGTTCCTAATTAAAAATTCTTATTGCTTCAATATTATTTATCAGAATTGTGCAATCATACCGTACATAGTATTCTGAAACGGATCCTTTTTCAGTTCTAATAAATAATATGAAACAAAAGAGACAATGAATTATGAAACAGTAATTATGCAAAAATGATTCAAATTAAATGCAATAAGTATATAACATATAGCAATCATGTGCGGTATGGTTTGTATGGCTTATTTGGAAATTGGTGCTTAGTTATAAATAACCTAATTTTAGTAGAATTACTAATTAATAATTTGATTATCCATTTAATTAAATCTTTCTTATTCAATAAGCAATATCAGTTAAGTAAACGTGTATTATTTGCTTGTTACTAGAAAATTAATTTTTATTGATAATAATAAATAGTAATATCATTTTGCTAAATTATGATTTATTACGGAATAAATAGCAAATGTTATAACAAACAGTATGCATTCTGATGACTATTCGTCAAAATCGTAAATTTTCTTTCTCTTTTGTCATTTTAAATATGTGTACTTTGAATCAAACACGCCAATTTATATTATTCATTAAATCGATCAATCTTTCTCAACTACACGATACGAAAATAACCGATAATGATGATACGGGTACCATTAATTAGCAAAAGGTTGTTATATAATTTTTTAAAGATAACTTTTTCTGTATGTAGTACACGCTTTAAAAATTAGTTTGTAATAAGTAATAAAGACGTTTGGTTTAGAAAGCTTTGCTTACAGTAAAAAAATAAAGTAAACTGTTACCACTTCCTCATCGATTTGCACTTTTCTCATAAATTTAGATAACTGTTAATTTTTGTACTTGATTTAATTCTTTATAATTATTTTTATCTATTCACGATATTGGTAAATAAAATATATTAATTATGCCGCTCTGAAATGATGTCTCGTAATTCTAATTTAAACACGTTGATTTAACAATGAATTATTTCTCCGCGCAATTTCTACGTATTACTAGTGATAATTTTACCAGTACCAGATATAATTTTTTATTTTTAATATACTGATTAAAATTTAATTTAAAATGTCTGTATTCATGAAAATATTAAATTTCGGGATAATGAGTTTCAGGATTTTGAATTTTCAGGATTACGATTTGTGAACGTCGGGTAAGGGATGCTAATTGTCAGTAAATCCGTGAGAACTTAATTGGCCGATTTTTTTATAACGAGTGATACGGTATTTAGCGTACATGATTGGTTAAATGCCATGTGATAGAAAATTCGAGCTTTCATAAGATCGATATTTTGCGTAATTTTAATTGAACTAAATACATCAGTTATTGCCGCAATATGAATGTAAATCAAGAGAAATTATCTGTTATATACCTATTGTCTTATTTCAATATAGAATTATGGATGCTGCACCACAAGACCACAAGATAGAATAATAATGTTTTGATATTGAATCACGAAATCACGAATGTATAACTGATAATTTTAATAAATAAAATGACACTTAAAGTAATACCTTTACAATAGCTGGATGTTTTAGAAATGTCGTACAAGTTGATCTGTCAGCTGATCTGTCCGACCTGATAGGTTTAACTACATATCTGTATGTCTATAGTATGTATACATTTTAAATCTCTCTCTTTCGGAATTAAAGGGACGTTATTCTTTGAAATAATTTATGCAGATATTAATGTAAGATAACATCCATTATCTTCAAAATTCGATGATGCTTTTTAATCGATTCGAAAAGTACCGAATGGAAAATTTTTCCTAGCATGACAGGAATATTTATTTTTAGACTGAGATTTTTTCATTATTGTAAAATTAAAAATTGATTGGGACAAGTTTATAATTTGATATTAACTTATTTTATTTTTGATCCTAATTGGTAAAGCTTGAAATATAAATATGATATAAAGTTAAGTTTATTTATTGAGATATTTTTTGATTTTCTAATAATCTAATCACAATTTTTTTTTTTTTTATTTATACATCAATTTTCTAAGACAAATTTTGGGAAATTTGAGCTCGGTGAGAATCTTCTTATTTATTTACTCATTCGTATCATTTGTCTATGATGGAGCATCATTTTAATAATATGCTCAAGAAAATTTAATGACGCCAATTCAAAAACGTGATTATTTTTGTGGTATTCTGAGACATAATCATGAGCGATACTAACGAATTTAAATAAACGAATTTTAATTAATATTCTTATTCTCGTGAATGTAGGTGCAATAAGCGAAGCATTAAATATTAAATTTAATATTATTAATAAAATTACATTAATGAAAATCGCGTAATAACGTTAAGTAAAAACTTTTATCAAAAATGTAAGTAAAATAAAAAATATTAGAATTTTGAGAATTAAATCAAAAAATATATATTAACATTTGTAATCCCTAACCCTTTACTTTAAACAAAAGCTTTTTTTAACAATTTTTTCATTCGTTCTTAATAACGTGACGTGATCGTATCGGGAGATCGCGGATCGGAATAATTTGATTTAAAATTCCATCCATCTTTTTTTACATATTACAATAATGTCTGGACAAAAAGGCCAAAAGAGAAATATATTCGCTTCAACTTTAGCCGGTACTGGAGCAGGGTAAGATTATATTTTCATTTGTTAAATAATTACCTACTAGATTTTTTAATTGATGAATTTGATGATTTTAGCTTGGTTGAAGTATCGTTAATGCAGGTTAATTGTTTTTTTTTGTTTAAATCGGGTTAAAAACTTTTTTTTAATTCATTTATTTTAACAATTTTTAATAAATTTTTAGCCTACAGACGTATTGAAAACAAGGTGAGTTTGATTTCAATCTATTTATTTAATTTCATCAAATATCTAACATTACCAATTTTTTATGAAAGATATCAGGTAATCAGAATACCATTATTAAACCTACTTGCCATTTTATTCGTTAATTTCTTATTGGAAACAATGATTACTTTTTAGTCAATTCGAGTTGCATCAAATTATAATGATATTAGTATATTAAGATCATTTGCTAAAATTGTTAAACAAGAGGGATTTTTTGGTAATTTCAATTTTATTGCATATATATAAATGTATTTATGAATAAATTAATTAACTTTATATATTTTAGCTTTGTATAGAGGAACATTACCTGTAATGTGTATCGTTACTCCAAGGTATGAATTAAAAGGAAAAAATTTTTTTTTTTTTTTAAAAAAAAATTAAAAAAAAAAAAAAATTATAATTTTAACGTTAAATCTTAATTACTTTTTACTTAGAGTATCATTACAGTATACAGGATTAGCAATGTTTAAACCAATATTTGAAAGAATGGAAGGAAAATTTATACCATCTGGAAGGTTTGTCTATTACTAACTTATGTATCATTATCACGCTCTGATTAATTTTTAACTTGATTTTTATTAATATAGTGCATCTGCATTTACCGGGGTAAGTATATGATTTCTTAGATCTAAATGTTTTAAAAATATTTAAATAAAATTTTGTTTTTAATGATATTAGGTATGTACAGGAATAATGCAAGCAATAACTTTAGTAACCCCATTAGAATTAATTAAAATAAGACAACAAACTGATATAAATCGATTTAAATATCATGGAATGTTTTCCACTATTGCATTAATTGTAAAAGAGGAAGGGTAAGTATGTATTAAACCTACATATATTTTTATACTTTATATATTTGTATATTAATAAATTAATTTATAATTATAGGATAACAGCACTTTATAAAGGATTGGTACCTACGATATTTAGACAATCGTGGGGATTGGCTGTAAAAGTAAGTTAATTATTTAAAATTTTTAAATGTTTTTTAATAGAATTTTTCTTAATTCTTTAAATTTTATATTTCTAGTTCACTGGATTTGCACTGTTTTTAGATTTATTTCGTATGCAAAGTAATGATAATTTGAAACCTCACCATTTTGTTGCATCAGGATTCTTATCAAATGTATTAGTAGGAATTCTTAATTCACCTCCTGATGTAGTTAAAACGAGAATGCAAGATCAATCTGCTTCATATAAAAGTTCTTGGGATTGTGTGAAGATTATGATGAAATATGAAGGTCCCCTCTCTTTATTTAAAGGTTCTTTATTAAGAATCATTAGAATTGCTCCTGGTGGTGGTATACAATTTGCAACTTTTGAATACTTATATAGATTATTAGAAAATAAAGTTTGATAAATGAACGAAATTTTTTTTTTAAAAAAAAAAAAAGACAGAAATGTTTAATAAAATAAAAAAAAAGAGGATAAAATGCTTGATAATGTTTAATTTGTTTTATTCTAAAAATTGTGTTTATATATATAAATGTTTGAAAGAACTATTTTAATTTCGAATTTATATTGAAAAAGATAAAAACTATAATGAATAAAATAATGTTGTTAATATTTTTGTTATCACTAAAATAATTAAAATGAAAATAACTAAATTTTCTAATAAAATTAATATAGAGATAACTAAAATATTGTATCTATCGTTCTTAATTTTAATTTTCAAGTTGAAAATAAAAAATCATCATCACCATTTCACTACTTCAGCTTCACCAAATAAACTTTCTTTAGTAGCTTTAATTTTCCCATCATCATCTTGTTTATCACCCTCAAATCCTTCAACGTCTTTAATATTACATAATTCTTTCTCTGAAATTTCAGGAAGAAATTTATTAATAAAACGAACTAAATGTCTATTTATTTGATCAAATTCTAATAAAAATCCATCATGCCCATCCGGTGACTGAATCGTAACCATCTCTGAATTTGGAATAAATTCCGCTAATTTATATTGTTCTGATATTGTAAATAATCCATCCGATTCAATTCCTAAAATAAAATAAAAGTAAATAAAAATGAAAACAAAATAAATATATATTCATATAATAAATTTCACGTTAAACTTACCAATAACCAAGGTTTGTTGTTGAATGCTATTTAAGACATCCTCCAATTTACCACGATCTTTTCCTATATCGTGACTATCCATTTTTCTAGTAAGATTAATATAACAATTAGCATCAAATCTATTAACAAATTTATCACCTTGATAACGAAGATAAGATTGTGCTGAAAAAACATGAGGGACAGATTTTGTTGAATGTTCATTATCATTATTTTCTGCATCAGTTGTTTTGTTATTATTATTTGTTATAGAAAAATTTTCACTTTTATGTCCATCATTATGTATGAGTAAAGCTTTTTCTGCAGGTGATAATGATGTTTTTTTTTGTGAATTTGATACTGTTGGATGTTTTTTTGGATCTTGAAACTTTCGACCAAATCTTGATTCAAAAGAATCTCGTGATCTATAAGTTAATAATGCCGACATCCTAGCAGCAGAAAGTCCGGAAGCGGGAGGCTAGAATAAATTATTAGATTAATAAATTATATTTGCCATTATTATTATTATTATTATTATTAAAAAAGTTAATCTTACATCATTTTGATCATAATATCCATCGCCTGAAAAAAAAAAAAGAAATTTATTATTTAATTTTAATTTAAAACAAATCTTTATAAAAATAATAACTTACGATATTTAATATCACTATAAATAGATTGTCTTTGGGCTTCATTCCAACTGATACACCAGGCCGAATTACGAGCAGATGTAGCAATTGGAACGAGAGTTTTAACATATTCTGGTCCAAAAAAAGACCATTCAAGTATTTGCATACCACCCATCGAACCTCCAATACAAATAGCAACTTGATTAATTCCTAATGAATCAAGAATCAATTTATGAAGTCTAAAAATGTAGGAAAAAATAAATTTATTATTTTTAGTTAAATGTTTCAAATAAGCTAAAACAAACTATAAATTGCTACATATTTTAATTACCTAACATCATCCTGCGGTGTTGTCAAAGGAAACTCTGGTCCATAATACTTTCCAGTTTCCGGATTAATAGTAACGGGTGAAGCAGTTCCATAAGGTGAACCAAGCACATTACCACAAAATATGAAAAATTTTGTGGGATCAAATGCCCTTCCTTTCCCAATCAGTGGTCCCCACCTACGAAAAAAAAAAAAAAAATTTCAATATTCATTAAATGCTAAAATATTTATTGACAAGTCATTTCTTACCAGTCTTGTACGTCAGAACTTCCACTAAGTGCATGACAAATTACCATAACATTATCTTTATTGTCGTTAAGAGCTCCCCATGTTTTGTACGCTACGGGTACTTTATATAAAGTATGTCCAGAACAAAGTGTGAATTCTGGTATGATTACAATGTTTTGACCGTGAACAAGCTGAGAGAATTTATTTTCAGTCTGTATTTCTATTTTTTCTAAATAATAGGTAAATGGAAGATACGATTTAATAAAAGTAAAAAAAAAACCTTCTAATTTGTTTAATTATACTAACCGTACATGTTGAAGAAAGAGAGTTTTTTTGATGATGTTGGATCAACTTTTTTTTTGCACTTATATCTTATTAGATGATCGACATACGTTTGTGTAAAATAATTTACATAATCTTGTAGCACGTTGCTACGATTTGCGAACTATAATTATTAATAAAATAGTTTAGTCTAAATTTAAAGTAAATTGGGTAATTTCAACCAGTTTACTTCAAATAGATGACGGATAAATGACCATAAACAAAGGTTTATGTATAAATAGGTTTTAAGTCAACCACGAGCTTGATTGTTATAATGATAACTTAATATCTCGTCATTTTTAACAATTTATTAACTAATTTTCTAGAAAAAATGCTGTTCTTCAATCGGTAGACTGTATATAGCTTTTTCAATACGGTTTATATATAAATAGCTGAGTCATGTACCACAGGCTTGATTGTTAAATGATAAATTAATATCTCGCCATTTATCAATTTATTGATTCATTTTCGGAATTATTCTAACCATTAATATAGTATTTATCCTTACATAATATAATAATTCATCCGTATGCCTTTAATGTTAATCGTGATGGGTGTGCATGTTCACAAACAAATTATTAAAGTACAGTATAATACATTCCATTCTTGTAGGAGATAACTGATATTTATTATCCACAAGAAAAAATGCGGTATTTATTATTGGAATAATGATACCACACATATTACGGAAATTATTTAAATAAAAAAATAATTTTTTTTTTGTTATCCTATATTTTGATTGCATAAGTCTTTCGAGTTGATTCTGTATTAAGATTCATATTTTATTATAAAGTGAATTACAATCAAATTCAAAGTACTACTTAACGGACAGTCGATATCTCAGGAACATAATTGAACAAGTTTTTTTTGTGATAATTAATTCGTTAAAATCAAATTTTTGTTAAAAATAATAAAAAAAAATTTATTTTGTGATTTGTTTTTAAAGAATTTGATTTTTTTAGTGCTAAAACCTTTCGATTTTTTCTTTATTTCCTGAGGTAGAAAATATAAAGAAAGTATACGACGATGTACTTATTGTATTCGATTAATATCCAATCAATCAAGTTTAGAAAATTTAATTATGCCATCCGTAATCCAATTTAGGTTTCAAGTCATTCGTTTCAAAAACGTTTTTCCAAATGAAGTATAACTACATCAAGTTAAATATCGAATAGATCGATATTATAACATTATATTTAGATTGATATTAGGGCGATTGATATTTATTTATGATATGAGCTGAATAAATTATTGTGAATATTATATTCGGTATTATGAGTATTCAGTTTACCTTTCAACTGAAAAATCTAAGATTTTCGATTTTTATTACTAATAAAAGAGATGCAGTTTGAACGTATAAGTTCTTCAATTTTACTAAAAATAAATATTAATTTTAAATAAAAAATATAATAATTGTGTAATATGATTTGTAAAGAATGATTTATAATTCTTTTCTATTTGTATATTTGTAATTGCAGATTAAAGACATATATATATATACCATATTATAATTAGAAATAAACAAACAATATGCATGTCAGTCCAGTGCGCAGTAGGCGCAGCGTACATTACTTTTATTTCCCGCGTATTTCGTTGAAAATATTAGGCGGCATTTTTCTTAGTAGCGCCTATTCTAATATATAAAGCGCATATGAAATTAGTAGGTTGCGCATATGAATTTTATTAATGATATGCGCTTTGCGCGTATAAGAATTTTTTGAATTTATAACACTGCCGGATGTCACTATTTTAGCGCAAAATAAAAATATATATTTAGATACACTTGGAATAAAATTGTATTAATAAGGTCATTCATTCGATTTTGAATAAGAACAATAATAACGTAAAAAGTTTAGTTTCATAATGATGTAACATACAAAAATGCTCCCAAGTACGACTAAATTAATTATCCCTTGTAAAAGTGATGCACGAATTTAAGCTAATGCTTATCAACACTGCTCGTCTCATTTCCATTTTGTCCTGCAAGATTGTAAATCAGCCGGCCATTTTTTGAATTTTAACTGACTGCTCTTGCGGTAGGCCGTTTTCAAGTTCCTTCAAATACTCTGCATGGAATCTCTGTTTTATAAATTATAAATGTAAAATATGTAGAGATTACACGAATGACCAAAAGTTTTTGATCTGTATGTTTCCGTTTGCCAAAGGAACATATATTCTCACTAACCCAGACGAGAATCTCTGGAGCGACCTGTGTTTCTCCAAGTCTATTGCTTGATATAATATTATTCAGGCTTTCGTTCTTTTAAAAAAGTTTCTTATGTCAAAAACAATAATAACCTATCAAATGGTAAACATAATAAAAAAGTCTTCCACATTCGCGTCTTCAATATTTATGACAAATTCGGGATCTAATGACACGTAATGATTCTGTTCAAGCAATAGTTTGCATAGGGATGATTGCTGAGTTTTGAAATATAACTTAACAACTTCTGTTCATGATAAATAAGTACAATTGAGGCTAAAGGGTCACTTATTCAGTCCAACAATACGTAGTAAACACAACTTATGTAACTTAAAGAATGTTTGAACTTTATTATCTGTGAGCCCTTCTACATTTGCAACACAAAATTTTAGATTTCGTTAAAGCATTTCGCTATTGATATTAGGTTGAACATACGAGTTTGGAATGGTGAGTAAAATTATTAAGTACTGCTGGGTTTTCTGAGAACACTACTGATACAAAATAACTCGTACCTTCAATGTCTGGTATAACAGTATTCGAAGCTTCAAGTTGCATATCTCTCTTTTTTTCGGAAATAAACAGATTTGGTTATCTAAGCCACTGAAACTTGAATTAGCCAAGACTGTAATACAACAAATTCAGTTAGTGATAATTATTCGTAGAACGCGTGATGTAAGTAAAGAATTGATTTTAAGAGAGTAAATTTTATTTTGAAAAGTCAAGATTTCTGTGGGATTTCACTTGGTATGCGATGAGATTTTTTTTTTCTAGGTTTTCTTTTTATTTTGGAGAGAACAAAAAAACAATATACCTATAAATATTAAATACGATCAGAACTCGATATAACGAACTCTCTGGTTAAAACAATTTATATTGTATTAATATAGAAGTAGATGTCAGGTGGCCTGTTGCTTTGCATAGTCTGGACAAGACGAAGTTAATTCCCGGTCGGAGCAAGGTGGTATGAACAATCATTTATCGTACAATAACATATTTCTGAGATTTTTGCCTTTTTAAAGATGGGAATCTTAACCTGTTCCAGGAGGTTTATCCCGTTCACCACATGACAGTGGCGCGATATCATAGTCTCGCTGATTTGTTCTTTCACTCTCTCACTTAATTTCTCTTTAGCCCTTTTATTTTAAAAAAAACTTCGACTTTTTCTTTGAGATACATTTTAAAGCACCTCTCTCTCTCTTTTTAGGGACATTTGGACACTTTAATTTAGTATTTTCTTTGAGAAGTGGTTACATTGATTTAATAAATTGTAATTTATATAAAAAATAAAGATCATTATGATAAGTTTTTTTTTATTTGCAAAATTTAAATTTTATTAAAATATATTAGAGTCTTTAGTATTAAATATAGCATAGCAAATTTTAACCACGTGACTTAATAAATATAATTACTCATATGATTTATAATACAGTAGCTACTTACGCGAAAAAAAAAAAAATTAATAATTCCTTAATCCTTATGACGTGTAACACGTACCGTAATCTTGATGTGGGTTTTGTCATGACTCATTGACTCATGACTCATGAGTATATATTTAAATAATATAAATATGTCTTTTTTTTCTTTTTTCTTTGTCTTCTTTTTTTTAGGTCTGTCTTTTCTCTGTCTAGGTCTTCTCTTTATTCTTAGCCCCCTTTTCTTTGCGTCTTCCTTTAGGTATATGGGTTGTTTTGTGTGTAGGTTTGTATGTGGGTTTGTATGTGGGTGGTGTATATGTTTGTGTATTTCCTTGCTCTTTCCCCTTTCCCTTCGTTCTCCCTTTCCCCTTCCCTTTCGTTCTCCCCTTTCCCTTTCGTATCTCCCCTTTCCCTTTCGTATCTCCCCTTTCCCTTCGTTCTCCCCTTTCCCTTCGTTCTCCCCTTCCCTTTCGTATCTCCCCTTTCCCTTTCGTATCTCCCCTTTCCCTTTCGTATCTCCCCTTTCCCTTTCGTTCTCCCCTTTCCCTTTCGTATCTCCCCTTTCCCTTCGTTCTCCCCTTCCCTTTCGTATCTCCCCTTTCCCTTTCGTATCTCCCCTTTCCCCCCTGATCAATGTTGCTGCACCTCAACGTGGTGATCAGGTGACAACAAGTTTTTTAAAAAACTTGGCTAAGTCAGCAACAAATAGTAATTACATACTACGTAAGTCACAAATCGATTCGTTATTTATTAAATTGATTTTATAACTAAATAAATAATTTGGTATATCTAATTTTTAGACTATTTGATTTTGAATTATTGTTCTTAGGGTTAGCACGTTGAAGAAATTTTTTAACATCCAAATTTAAACGATGATTTTCTATATGTTTTATTCAATCATATTCCTTTTTTTGTAACACTGATAATTTGCTATTGTCGTAATCAATTTTTTTTATTTAATGTTGTAATAAAAAAAGTTCATGAGTGACAGATTTTAACGGTTACCGTTTTCCTAGTTTTAAAAATAATTCATTACTGTAGCACTATTTATAAACATTTGTCGAATTTTACTTGGATTGAAAACCTGATCGTTTCCTAATTCTTTTAACGCTAATTCATCAAATCATTACAATTTCCATTTTATGAATATAAATATGTACAGTACAGTGTATTCACCATTTTACGCTCAAAACATTTATTCCGCTCCGAATGAAAACAATCATATGATGACGATCTATTACTACGGAGAGTTTTTGTTTTTCTGTTTTTCTAAATATGGAATTCAACAGAGAATCAAATTCTAGTAATACAATGATAGGAATTAAATACTGGATTTGCCTTCTAATATTGGCAATAAGAGAAAGTATGCTAAAATTATAATATTTATTTATTTGTATTACAAGAGGGATTATACCAAGTA